CAAGACCTGGCACCAGAACAAGCCTGCCTTGCTTCACAGCTGGGCCTCACCTGGGCACTTCCAAGCCCAATAAAAATAGCAGCCATCTGCAGATCTCTCTATAGCTCCTGCCAGGTGGCTCCAGGCAGTGGCTGACTTTGCACTTCCCTGAAGGCCCTAGAACCAGTGAACCTTGTGGACAGCTTCAGACCATACCAGATTACAACTCTACATATCCACAAGTGACACACAAAAGAGGCAGACTCAGTGAGCACCAAAGCCTGCTCCATAGGTGGGTTTCCTGCACAGCAGCTCTCCCACTATAGTTGCAGCTGGTCCTCAGAGCCAATTGGCCTGGAGGTAAATTCCTCCAAGTGACACCAAGAGCAATCAAGGCTCAACTACAAGACTGTGCACACAGCCCACATAGGGGCACTCAGGTGACTGGGGAGGCTGAGCCACTAGGCCCTACAGGACACCTACTACACAAGGCCACTCTACCAATTCCAGGAGACATAGCAGCTCTACATAATAGGTAGAAATGAACACAGAAGCAAGCAAAATGCAGAGACAAAGAAACGTGTCACAAATGAAAGAAATGGAAGCAAGCAAACTACTAGATACAGAGTTTAAAACCATGGTTAGAAAGTTATTCAAGGATCTTCATGAGAGCTTCAAGGGACTTAGTAAGACTTTTAAGGAAATTAGTGAGAATGTCAAAGACATGAAAAATGACCAATCAGAAAATAAGCATACAGTAACTGAAATAAAGAATCATTTGAGGTGTTGCAACAGTAGAGTTGATGATTCTGACAATCAAATCAATGATTTGTAATATGAGGAAACAAAAACACCCAATCAAAAGAGAAAAAATAAAAAAGGATCCAAAAATATGAAGATAGTGTAAGGAGCTTCTGGGACAACTTCAAGTGTACCAGCATTCGCATTATGGGAGTGCCAGAAGGAGAAGAGAGAAAAGAAGATATTGAAAACCTATTTGAAGAAATAATGACAGAAAACTCCCCCTACCTGGTGAAAGAAATAGATTTACAAGTTCAGGAATCGCAGAGTCCCAAACAAGAGGAACCCAAAAGAGGTCCATACCAAGACACATCATAATTAAAATGCCAAGGGTTAAAGACAAAGAAAGAATTTTAAAAGCATCAAGAAAAAAGCAGTTAGTTACCTACAAGGGAGTATCCATATGACTGTCAGCTGATTTCTCAACAGAAACTTTGCAGACCAGAGGGAGTGGCAAGAAATATTCAAAGTGATGAATAGCAAGGACCTACCACCAAGATTACTCTACCCAGCAAAGCTATCATTTAGAATTAAAGGTCAGAAAAAAAGCTTCACAGACAAGAAAAAGTTAAAGAGTTCATCACCACCAAACCAGTATCACATGAAACATTAAAGGGTATTGTTTAAGAAGAAGAAGAAGAAGAAGAAAAAGAAGAAGAAGAAGAAGAAGATTAAAACTATGAACAATAAAATGGCAATAAGTATATATCTATCAACAATTGAGTCTAAAAATCAAAATAAACAAGAAATCTAATGAACAAAGTAAAGTGGTGAATAAAATAGAATCAGAGGTATGAAAACATGGAACAGACTGATGAATTTTAGAGGGAAGGGTGGGAGGCAGAAAGAGAGTAACCAAAGATCTTACCTATGGTCACAAACAGTAGGGGGTGAAGGCCCGGAGCAGGGCAGTAACCTGGGGTGGAGGGGGGCCAATGGGAGGAAAAGGAGGGATATCTGTAATACTCTCAACAATAAAGATTTTTAAAACATAAATAAATAAAATAAAATTCACAGTTAAAAAAATCTCCTTATTACAGTTTATTATAATAGATTCTAACCAGACACCCCCATATGTGCCAACAACATACAATAAACACTGGCAAAACTGTCATGCCTTATGATTGTTATTAATAAAGTAAATTTGGCCTGGGGGTGTGGCTCAGTGATTAAGCATCAACCTATGAACCAGAAGGGTCACCGTTTGGTTCCTGGTCAGGGCACATGCCCGGGTTGTGGGCTCAATACTCAGTGTGGGGTGTGCAAGAGGCAGCTTATGAGTGATTCTCTCTCATCATTGATGTTTCTTTCTCTCTCTCCCTCTCCCTTCCTCTCTGAAATCAATAAAAATATATTTTTAAAATGAACAAATAAAGCCAATTGGTTTCTAGAAGATTCCATTAGGGAGTCATTCTGCATCTGCATGGCTCCCCCAGGTAAGCAGAAGGAGCATTTAGAGAAGACCAAATTGACACTCATTAGCAAGGAGGGTACTCTTAGGATGAGGAGTTGAGGTGCCAGGCCCCACTGCTCTCTGTACAGGAGGCAGAGAATCAGAGAGTGGAGGCATATGAAGGTGTCTGAGCTGGGCACATGCCAGGCCCAAGGCAGGGAAAGCACCGAGCGGTCCTGGTGGCCCAGGTAAGACCAGTGCCCCTGAAACCTCAGACCAAGACACCATAAAGGCACCTCTGGAGGTGACCATGAAGGTGAGGAGGGAGGGTAAGACTCAAACGGATTGAGATTGTGTTTCTCCCCAGCCTGGGAGATGGGTTGGTTTAACATCAGATGCTGCTCTGCTGAAAACAAAAAGAAGTAGAATTTCTCACGCCCTTCAGTTTATATACTGAGATCCACACCCAGGCACGATTTGTACATTGGTAGACACTGGCAAATGGTGAAGCTATCACAAACAACAGGTGTGCCTCAGAGTCCTTCCCCCAATATTCTCTCCTGAGTTTGACATCTTTTTAATTCTTGTCAATCTAACTGGGAAAACAGTATGGAAGTCTTGGTTTGATTTTCATTTCCCTGACTCCCCAGAAGGCTGAACATCTTTTCATATGTTTATTAGACATTTGCATTTCTTGTTCAGTGAATTTCCATTTGTATCTTTTGCCCAATTTTCTAAGAGCTAATTCATCTTTTTCTTATTAATGTGCAGGTATTGTTTCTGTAAGAGACAGTAACTTTGGCCCATGGCAAATGTTTTCTTCCTGTTTGTCTCTCACTTGGCTTATGGCCCTTTTGTTCATACTAAATTTTGGATCGCCCATCTTACTAAGAGCTCTCCACTCCAAAGTTTTATAAATATTCTAAATTTTATATTTCCATATGCATATTCCTCCTGTCTCATACTTACATACACCCACACTCATGTACCCCCATAGTTAGACGATCATGAGATGGCTCATTAACCCACCTGGAATGTGTGGGGGTGTGTCTGTGTGTGCATGCAGCTGTGTGTGTGTGTGTGTGTGTGTGTGTAGGTGCAAGCAGACTCAGTGTTTCCAGACTTTTCACAATCCTTCTGTGCAGCATCAAGCCCGACATGAACCACGTATTAAAGTCAACTGCTCAAATCTGCCTTTTACAGTTTCCAGCTCCCAGGGCATCTCCATCCTCCCTGTTGCTTAAGAAGGAGGTGGGTGTTCCCGCCCACTCCCTTCCCCACAGTCCCATACCCAAGCACTCTGGAACCTCCATGATCCTCCCTCCCACATTCTCTGCCCACTCCTCCCAGGACGCCTCCTTGCTTCTGGCCACTATCATCTGGCCCTGGCTCTTTGCAGCCCTGGCCTGCCTGGCTCCTCACTCCTCCCCATCCCATCTAGTCTCCACTCTGCAGCCAGGAATCCTTCTAAATGCAGACCCACCTCATCCCTGCTCTACCTAGAACCCTTCCTTCCACAGCTCCCACCACTTTCAAACTCCCAAGTAAGGCTGAAATCATCCTTTTTTAAAGGGCACTTCTCATCTTTAAAATAAAATAAAAAACTACAGCCCCATTTCTCAGATTGTGTCGCCCAGCTCCATGCTCCAGGCAGAGCAAACTACTTTTCATTTCTTCAAAAACACCAAGGTTCCCTTTCAGCAGATGGAAACTCTGGCTACGCCCCTGCTCACCTCTTAAAATCACCCACACATGCCCAGGCCCTCGCCTGGGTGATTCTCACTCACAGGCCAGGCGGGACCTCTGCACCCACATCCTCCGGATGGTCCCCACGCCAGCGTGAAGATCCACTGCCCTTCCCTCCGAATGGTGGGCTGTCATTCTCCAGCTGGACCCCTCCTCCAACCCCAGCTCCCACCTCTCCACCCCGCATGGCCTCTTCTTCCTTGGAGTCAAGGCTGAGACGCTCCTTCCTCAGAACTTTCCTCTACCATTCAGATTAGGGCCCCGGCTCATCCACCAGCATCCCCCTGGCCCTCCCCATTCAAGCGTTTATCACCCGGACTTAATTCCCTGATTTCTTGTCTCCCACCCCAGACTCCAAGTTTGGGTGAAAACAAGAAGAGCATGTCTGTCTTGCTCACCATAACCTTATGCGCCCAGCAGCAGAGACCTGACACAGAGTAGGTGCGCAGTAAATGTTTACTTTCCAGATGAATGAATGAACAAGTAAATGGATGAATGGATGCTTGTGGCAGTTTCCAGGACAAATAACAAACTGCTCAGAAAAGCCAGCAAACAGATGCGCAGTCTGGCCAGCAGGGGGCACCAGCCCGCTTTCCGATCCCCTGCCCAAACCCTGGGAGCCTACCTGCTGTCAGTCACAGAGCCTCCGGGTGCTCAGTGGTCATTTCGCAGCGCTGGAGATTAAGTAGGAGTTGTTTGCCACCAGCCAATGTATGAAAAGTGAGTGTTCACCCCTCACTTCCAACAACAGGCACTACATCCCTTGTCTTGCCAGGAAAGGAGCCGTAACTGTAGCAACCGGTGGCAGGTTTTCTGTTCCCAAGTGGGGATGGCGATGGAGTAAGGAGGGGAAAGGAGGGAGACGGCAGAAGAGTCCGCACAAAACTGCTCGCCCTGGAGCAGCAGGGAAAGTTCTCTGTGTGCCTCCCAGCTCGCTCGCTCCCCATCCTTCCATCTGGGAGAACAGAATCCGAGTCCGCACAGGACGAGCATCCCTCACACGCATCTGGAGGAAACTCTTGCCTCCTGTGAGGAGCAGCAGCAGCAGCAGCAGCCTATGCCCCCGGCCACAGCCCAGCTCGGTCAGCCTGTGTCCGCGATGAACGCCTCGTGCTTCCTGCCCTCGTCTCAGCCCGGGCAGCCTAACGGCTCGGAGTGCCTGGACGCCCCCTCCTCCGGCAACCAGAGCAGGTACTGCGAGCAGGTGTTCATCCAGCCCGGGGTGTTCCTGGCGCTGGGCAGCGTCAGCCTGCTGGAGAACATCCTGGTGATCCTGGCGGTGGCCCGCAACAGCAACCTGCACTCGCCCATGTACTTCTTCCTCTGCAGCCTGGCCGCGGCCGACATGCTGGTGAGCGTGTCCAACGCCCTGGAGACCGTCATGATCGCCGTGGTCAACAGCGGCTCGCTGGCCCTGGAGGACCGCTTCCTGCAGCACATGGACAACATCTTCGACTCGATGATCTGCATCTCGCTGGTGGCCTCCATCTGCAACCTCCTGGCCATCGCGGTGGACCGGTACGTCACCATCTTCTACGCGCTGCGCTACCACAGCATCGTGACGGTGCGCCGGGCGCGCGCCCTGATCGTGGCCGTCTGGCTGTGCTGCGGCGTCTGCGGCGTCGTGTTCATCGTCTACTCGGAGAGCAAGATGGTCATCGTGTGCCTCGTCACCCTGTTCTTCGCCATGCTGCTGCTCATGGGCACCCTCTACGTGCACATGTGCCTCTTCGCGCGGCTGCACGTGCGGCGCATCGCCGCGCTGCCCCCCGCCGTCGGGGCGGCCCCGCCGCAGCGCTCGAGCCTCAAGGGCGCCGTCACCATCACCATCCTGCTGGGCGTCTTCGTCATCTGCTGGACCCCCTTCTTCCTCCACCTCGTGCTCATCATCACCTGCCCCACCAACCCCTCCTGCGTCTGCTACGCCGCGCACTTCAACACCTACCTGGTGCTTATCATGTGCAACTCCGTCATCGACCCGCTCATCTACTCCTTCCGCAGCCCCGAGCTGAGGAGCACCTTCCGCGAGATCCTGTGCGGCTGCCCCAGCGTGAGCCTGGGCTAGGACGCGGGCCGGAGGCCAGTCCCTCCGGCCACTGCTGACCCTCCAGCCAGCTAAGGTTTTTAGAGAGAAGAGGGGCGGGATCGAAGACGCCAGAATGTGTGAACAGCCGAGGTTGAGTGCATCTTGTTTTGAAGCTTGCAGAGCCTCTGACAGGGAAATGGAAAGTAACAGGCTCTCTGAAAGGATCCCAACGTGGGTAAGTCTCTGATTTCCCCAACAGCCGCGCGAGGAGGCCGTGCTGCGGCTGCTGTGCGCGCTCATTCCATGAGCCAGGGTTTGCAGCGCCTGCCTGCCCACCCGCCTCCTGGCACGTCCTCGCCCCTCGGGTCTTCCAGACTGAAGGATTCTCATTGACAGGAGGGTGGGTCGAAGCTCTCCCAAGCAAACCTCTTACCCGCCCCACCTCGACTGCCAGCCGCTCCGATGGCTTTGCCCTTATTTCATAAGACACTTGAGTTTCCATCCTGTTATTCTGTTCACAGTGCAACAGTTGCCCCACAACAATGAACTCTTTGTGAAAGAAGCGATGCAGCACGGCGTCCTTTCTACCCTCATACCCTCACCAACCTCCTCTGAAAAATAGCATCGAAATGTGACCCACGATGCCCCTACTTTTGTTATTAGAGTTGTTGCTTTTGTTGTTGGGTTTCATGCATTCAGCCTAAGGCAGCTTTCAAAATTCTAATGAAAAGGAGATCACGTGCTTTGGAAAACCAGAACATACCCGTGTGTACAGTATTTTGATGCCTTGCTCTCCTGAAGTATATGTTTCCCTATTTTAAAAGCCTTTTCCCTATTATTCCTTTTCCGCCTTTAACACAAGAGGGCCTGTTGTATGGGGGGGGGGGGGGGGGGTGGTACGGTGTCTCCAGAGATTGCTTCACAGTGGTTTCAGGTTTGAGAAATTGTAGGATTGCATGCGACTGTCTTGGAAGCTTTGCTTTTGCTCATTGTAACTGTGTCTCTATCGCATGATTTCCTGAAACGTTATCTAGGAAAGAAAACTTGGGGGGATTACTGCTCCTTTTGCTCAGCGTGGTGTTAAAGTCAGGGTGATCCTGTTATCAACGTCTGTACCTTATCAAGTAAAGCAATTCATTCCCGTGAGCATGGGCGAGATTGCTGCCTAGCACTGTGTGCTGTGTGCTCTGCACCTGGTCAGACCCTTTCCTTCCCTGGAGAACGCCACCCCCACACCAGCGGCTCTCCTGCGCTGTGTCTTTGGTGTACAGTTGTGTGTTTTTCTTGTGCCGGACTATATTGGGGGTTTCAGTGTACTTGACAGCCTGCTCATATAAACACTGTCTTTCGTTTCTTGCTTTGTGATGTTTGGAAATAAATAAAAGGCTTTTGTGCCTGCTAAATGTGTGGCATTAAATGGTCCACCCGGAAGGATGCCAGTGACTCCTGCACAGCGTCCGTTACACTGTAATTCTGGTTGTTTTGTAAGTGACAGAAGCATCCATTGCCACAGCGCTCGTCTTTTCTAGGGCAATGCCTTTTAGCCAAACTACAAAACGCTCCCATTTAGGTTCTGAGAACACCAGGCTGTAGCTCCTGGGCCACTGTCACTCTCCATTAATTTAATCGAGACACCAAATAGCAGGTCGCGTCCACTGCCACTCGGTGAGCCACTGTGGGCAACAAGGAGTCAGGCTCTCTGGAGACTGTACTAAAGCCACAGGAACCATGACCCGCTTTTCTAGGTAAACAGCAGGAAAATAACTAACTTTTCACTCTTGGATACCAGCTTTCACATGATTTCATTTATTCTCTCAGCAAACCTCTAAAACAGGTGAGTCATTTTACAGGTGAAGGAACTGAGTCCTGGGGCTGGAGGGTGCCTGATGGGCCACGAACACCCAGCTAGTTAGGCTCATTTGCGTCCTGCGGCTGAAGTCTTTGCACCATGTGGTGCTGCTGACAGGTTTCCATAATGAAAACAGACCCCACGCTCCTTCCTCCACACGTTGGCTTAGAGAAACTTCCCACAGACTCACCCAGGATCTTGCTCAAGGGCAAAATCTGACTCAGTAGGTCTGGAGTAGAGGTTCTATGACAATCTCCCAGGGGCATGACTGCCTCTGGGGCCACCTTTTAAATAGAGAGGGCGTAGAGGGCTTTCAAAAACTTGACACAGTGTGAAGCGCTGGCCCCAGGCCAGGAACTGTGCTGGCTACCTGAGGGGCATGTGCTTCTGAGCCTTGCAGTAACCCCTGAGGCGGGCACTAGAACCACCCTTATGTGGCAGGTGAGACCTCTGCAACTCCGAGGGGTTAAGTCCTTGTCTAGGAAAACTCGGCTCCAAGCAAAGAAGAGAATCAGACACAGGCTGCCCGACCCACACCCCAGTCCAACTCCACCGCCCCTGGGAGCAGTCTGCATAGTTCAGCCAAGACCCAGGGACAGCAGAGCATGGGCTGTCATGGAGGGAGACTCGATGCATAATTCTACAGCTCACCAGTCCAGGTGTTTCTAAGAGTTTCCATCGAGACATCATAAAAACCACGAAGCACGATTAGTCATCTGACTTGGGAACATACTCCTGCAAAGGCTGTGGGCAGCCCTGGGAAGGCATCATGCTGAGGTGGACAGTCCTGCATGTGGGGCTGTCACTGCCTCCTCTGCCACCACTGTCCACTGGATGTTTTAAGCAGAAGGACAGTCAGATTTGAAAACACTTAATTTTTACAAATAAAAGCACATCGTGACTTTAATTCATTTGTTAGGTTACATTCATGTCTCATGGCTTAACCCCAGGCACTATCACTGCAGTGGTTGATGCCCTGGGTCCCTAAAAACCTTTGCCTGTTGTCCTTACTGAAATGAAACTTTTGAGCTTAATTATGCTGTTTTTCTATACAGCGGCTACGAAAACTCAAGCTTTCTTGGCTGAAAACATTGACCCACATTCACCCCCACTAAAATCCATCCTCCAACCTGTTTAAAGTTGTTTCAAAACTATGAAACAGATCATATCACACTCCTCAAAACTCTTCATAGGCTCTGAATAGAAATTCACTTCCTTACGCAGCCCTACAAGGCCGTATGAGCTGATCTCTGGTAAGTCCTCAACACACTCCCCCTTCCCCATACTTCTTCCCCACCCTGGACTCAAACTCACCACACTCATTCCTGCCCCAGGGCCTTTGCACCTGCTGTTTCCCTCATATCTTCCCCTTGATTGGCACCTTGTTATCATTCAAGCTCCAGCCCAATCCTCAGGGATGCCTTCCCTGACTACTCTTTCTAAAGCAAATGCCAGTCACTCACATGAAGTATTGTCTTATTGTTATTTTATATTTTCTTGTTTATTTATTTGTTTAATCATCATCCATCTCTCCCACTAAAAAGCAGTGTCTAACATATAAAACCAGCCAGTAAAAATAATATATGCTATATGAATAAGTGATTTCATTAATACATTTAAATATGAGCTCAAATCTAACCAGAGTATACAGGGTCAGGCAAAAGTAGGCTTACAGCTGTGAGTACATGAAACACAGAGTTTATTCTTGTATTACTATTTATTAATTACTAGAGGCCCTGTGCATGAATTTTGTGCACTGGTGGAGGGTGTTCCTCAGCCCAGCCTGCACTCTCCAATCTGGGACCCCTCGGGGGATGTCTGACTGCCAGTTTAGGCCCGATCCCACAGGCCTAAACCAGCAGTCGGACATCCCTCTCACAATCTGGGACTGCTGGCGCCCAACTGCTTGCCTGTCTTCCTGCCTGATTGCCCCTAACCGCTTCTGCCTGCCAGCCTGATCACCCCTAAACCACTCCCCTGCCAGCCTGATTGACACCTAACTGCTCCACTGCCAGTCCGATTGCCCCAACTGCCCTCCCCTGCAGGCCATCTTGTGGCTGTGGGTGCTGCCATCTTTGAGGGTGGGAAGTCAATTAGCATATTCCCTCTTTATTAGATAGGATTGCATTATTTCCCATACAAACAACCGTAAATCTGCTTTCCTCACCCTGTGTAAGACACCAGTGACCCTCCCATCCTATCTAATAATAGACAAACATGGTAATTAACCATACCTCTGACACGCTTCCCATTGGCTAATCAGGGCTATATGCAAATTAACTGCCAACCAAGATGGCGGCCGGCAGCCAGGCAGCTGAAGTGAACAGGAGGCTTGCTTGCTCCAGTGATGGAGGAAGCCAAGGTTCCCCGCCTGCCACCACCCAGCTCTGAGCTGCACTCTAAGCAACTATGTTGCAATTATAGAAGCTAAACAATCCCCAGAAACCTGCTTTCAGCCAGCCAGGCCTCAGAGCTGGAGTTGCAACAGAGTTTCAATTACAGAAGCTAAACAAAGCCCAGATACCTGCTTTCAGCAGCCGAAGTCTCAGAGATGGAGCCGAGCCTCAGAGCTAAAGCCGGCTCTCAGCTCCAGTGACAGCCACAGAAGGTAAATAAATCCCAGAATAAAAAAACAAAAAGGAAAAAAGGAGAGGTTGGGAGCTTCAGTCACCCGCCAGCCTGAAAACGGCTGTCAGCCCCTCACCCAGACTTGCCAGGCACCCCAGTGGTGACCCCCACCCTGAAGGGGGTGTGACCAGCTTCAAACAGCCATCAGCCCATCATCCAGGCTGGCCAGGCACCCAAGTGGGGCCCCCACCCTGATCCGGGACACCCTTCAGGGCAAACCAGCTGGCCCCCACCCATGCACCAGGCCTCTATCCTATATAGTAACAGGGTAATATGCAAACTGACCCTAACAGCAGAAAGACTGGGAATGACTGGTCACTATGACACACACTGACCACCAGGGGACAGATGCTCAATGCGGGAGCTGCCCTCTGGTGGTCAGGGCGCTCTCACATGGGAGGAGCTCTGCTCAGCCACAAGCCAGGCTGATGGCTGCCAGTACAGCAGTGGTGGTGGGAGCCTCTCCTGCCTCCTCAGCAGCACTAAGGATGTCCGACTGCAGTTTAGGCCTACTCCCCGCTGGCAAGTGGACATCCCCCGAGGGCTGCCGGGCTGCCAGAGGGATGTCTGATTGCCATCTTAGGCCCAATCCCCCAGGGAGTGGGCCTAAGCCAGCAGGTGGTCATCCCCTGAGGGATCCCAGATTGCGAGAGGGCACAGGCCAGGC